TTGGCAGTCACAGAAATGAGAGATTGCTTTCAGGTGCTCCCCCAAATCCTATTCATCCCTAAATGCCTTCACAAAAATCTCTATTTAGAAATTTATTCTGATGCCCTCAACTGATTATGATGTCCCTCTTTTACAGTTCCACAACTCCCTTGTCTCTTTTATGGCCGTGTTTCATTTGACCATCAGTAAATGAAGAAATCAAGCACTTAGGGTGCTGGTCTATGATTACTGAAATGAACAGAAGTCCTTCGTGGTCATCCTTATATGAAGACTTTACTGTCATTTTCTCTAATGGAATTAGAAGTTCAGAAAAATATTTCCCTGAAAAATGTGCATAAGTTTTAAAAAAGATTTTTAAGGATGTCTTTTATTTTTTGAAGTACAGGTTAGCTCATGATCATCAACTAGTATTTATGGGTTGATACCACATTGAAATCTTTTTTATGTCATTGGGTATGTGAACAGATTGCGGAAGTTTAAAGCACTGCCTTCAAAACTAGAAATGATTGCATTGGGACCCAGAAACAGTTGGCATCCTTGCATAAAAGACACTTGGTACCAATTATTTATGCACTAAATGGGTCTAGCATCCCACATTAAATTATCCACAGTTTTGATTCAATTAGCTTTTGATTCATTGCCTCAGTCTTTAATGACAAAGTTATTTCAGAAAAAGTTGAGTCTTGGAAAAGTTTCGCCTAGCTAAGATTCCCCTTCAGGGAGGATGTGAGTCACACAGCACTTGCATTAGCAAATAAAACCACAGTGCATGTCTGCTCCCTGTGGATTTTAATTTGCAGCAACAATAAGCTGCAAGTAATAGGCCTTAGGTTAAATGGTTGAATATACAGTGCAAATCAGAATTAAGATGTCTTGTTTTGAGAAAGGTGAGGTAAATGTCATAGGCCAAGTGTTCCGAGAAACCTTGTATAAATGCCCAGCCCCCTCACATGTAGATATCCTGGCTTTGTCTCCCCTCAAAGGCATCTTCTGAGGAATCTTTTCACTTCCATTACTTCTTTCAATTCTGTTTGTATCTTACACTCACAAGTCAGGGGAAAGGGGCAGCAAAACTGACCAGGAGAAAATTTTAAATTGTTCAAAGCATGAATTTTCCAGTCAGTACCTCCCCTTGGGGTGCATTAGCATCTCCAAATACAGTGCTCCTTGCTTCTCTCTCTCTTCACTTATTTATGAATTTATTCTTTCATTTTTACATTGGTTTACTTATTCATTCATGTTCACTTAGTCATTCCTTCAACAAACAGAAACCTGTTGAGAACTTATGGTGTTTCTTAATGGAGATGCTATTAGCATTTTGCAGGAGATAATTCTTTGTGCCGAATTGTCCAGTATATTACAAAACGTTATCTCTGGGCCCCATCCACAAAGCAGTTCTTAGTCCCTGAGCAACCTAACCCTGCTCCCCACTTCCATTTCCAAACATGGCAGAAGAACCTGGGTATGATCCACTGCCAGAGGAGATCAGGATAAATAAGACAAGGTTATGGACCTTGGGCAGTTGGTAGTCTCACAGAGAATACAGATAGATAAATCCAGTACAGCGTGACACATGAGAGGAGAAAACAGAGGGATTCAAGAAGGCTTCTCAGAGGACAAGATGCTTAAGACAAATCTTTATGGAAAAATTAGCTAGACGAAGATTTCTAGGCAGCAGAAGAATTCCAAAGGCTGTGCCAGGCTTCAGAAAGATGCTTTGGAAGAGCTGCAAGCAATTTGATCAAGGCTGGTGCATGGAATTGGAGTTTGGAGGTGGTGACTAATAAGACAGGAGGCGTGGTTGTAAGGAGGGTGTCACAGGCTAGGATGAAATATTTTGGCTTTATTCTAAATATTTATTTATTGGAGGTGACACAATTAGATCTGAGTATCAGAAAGATCACTCTGGAAAGGACTCTGGAACATAGATTAGAGGAAATAAGACTGAGAACAGAGAAAACCATTTTTTGAGGATGCTGTGGTAATTCAGATGAGAAATGAAACAAGCTTAATGGATTTCAGTGAATACATCCATAGATACAGTAAGGGCTGCCAACACCTAGCCAAAGACCACCAGGTGCATACCTTTAGTTGAACAAGCTGGTTTTATTACTCATTGCAAGGAGTAATACCATGAGGAATCAAGGGGTGTTTCAACAAGGGTGCATTGGAAAGAACCTATTTACTGGATTTGAGCTTTAGTTGCGTAACTTGGGGGAGAGTGTAGGGAAACACGGGTTTATTCACTATCGAAAAGTGAGGGCAAGTCTATGATTGGTTAGCTCAATAAATCTTACCTATAGGGAAGGCAGACTAGAAGGAGGATCATCTTCACTCGTATTAGCTGGGAGACAGTGATGACTGATATTTTCGTGGGTTACAGGGACCTTGTTTTTGTCTTGCTTTATTATGGTTTGCATTGTGTATAGACTTCAAGCACTAGGCTTTGAGGAGTAA